CCTCAATGATCTTCATGGGGACTAAATACAAATGAATCCATGTACCTGTATAGTTCCTGGAAAGTAATATGTGGTCAATAAATCATCTACCTCCCCAGTCACCCTTAGTCACACACCCTCAGCAGTGCTTGTCTTGGGACTGGTGATCACGCAGATTCCTACTATGCTAATTGCTGCGTCCTCCCTACGCAGGGCCCCTCACCAAGGCTCCACCTTTCTTCAAGGACCCCCTGAGTCTCTCCTGCAGAAGCCTTCCCAGTTACAGCCCTCAATGCCTGAATTCCTGTAGTACTTACTGGGTGTCCACTTATTACTGAGCATGTGCTCTCTGTGCTGCCTTTACAGATCGGGTGGGTTCACCTTGTATTCCTGTGGCCCAGCGAAGTGTCTGGGGCCGGTGATGAGGGCGCACAGCTTCTCCACTTGTGCAGAGCCTGCAGGCCTCTCGACAGCATGGTCATCGTCTTTTCTCTTTTTGTAGCAATTTTATCTTCCTGTGCATACGTTTTCATAATAAGTCACCTGAAACATCGTTAAGTAGCTGGGTATGAATTTTTCTGAAAGTCTTAGTGACAGAGCCAAATACAGTATTCTTGGATTTTACCTATTTGCTCTTTAGCTTCCTTTTATACTGGTTTCCATTCAGATTAAATCTTCTTGTCAATGAAATAGATAGAGATTTATTACTTGCTTTTAAAGCTGTATCTCCAGAGTTAATCTTGGAGCATTTTAATCTTCTAAATTTTAAAGTCTGGGCTGCAAGGAGAATTTTCAGGGTGAAACAAACTTTCATGGTTTGATAACTAAGCTGAGCTCCAGGGTGAGAGACTTACCCTTGAATGCAGGTCTGACTCAGGTGGAGTTTCCCACCCCTCATTTTACCCATCTCCAAGGAAGAAGCATTTTTTCCTTCAAGATCACTCTGCTTGTCTTCTGACATTCCTTACATCTGCTTCCGTCATCCTCTTTTCCTGTATCATTATTCTCCTTCCTGCATGGGCTACTTGTGCTCTGACTATATGATCAACTCTCTCCTATCCTATAAAACTTACCCTTGACCCTGAATCTCCTGAAAACAACCTCTCTTCTCTTCCTTTCTTAGCCAAATATCTTGAGACATACTGTCCACTTTTCACTTAAATACTGTTTATTGAATGCCTGCTTATCCCAGGCACGGTGCTGGACATTGGGAATGGCGGCAGACAAGATGACACCCAGGCCCTTGTGGAGTTCAGCCTCCTGGTCAAGCCTCAGCCCTTGCCATGCCACTGAAACGGCTCAGACACAACTTCTGGGGGTCTACTCCCAGTTTCCGTGGCTCTTCTCAGCCTCCTCCCTCCAGCGGTAAAAGAGACCTTAACAATGGTAGTAATATCCTCAAGCCTAATAGCTCACACTTAGAAATCATCCTCCCATTCAAGGCCCTGTGATGAGAGAATCTGCCTTTGAAAAGTTTACATATAAAGTATCATGTAGCCCAAATACAGTCATTTCAATTGCTCAGTTGTGTCCAACTCTTTGTGACCCTACGGACTGCAGAATGCCAGGCTTCCCTGTCCATTACCAGCTCCAGAAGCTTGCTCAAACTCATGTCCATAAAGTCGGTGATGCCATCCAACCATCTCATCCTCTGTCATCCCCTTCTCCTCCCACCTTCAATCTTGTCCAGCATCAGGGTCTTTTCCAGTGAGTCAGTTCTTCACATCAGGTGGCCAAAATATTGGAGTTTCAACTTCAGCATCAGTCCTTCCAATGAATATTCAGGACTGATTTCCTTTAGGATTGACTAGTTTAATCTCCTTGCAGTCCAAGGGACTCTCAAGAGTCTTCCCCAACACCATAGTTCAAAAGCATCAGTTCTTCAGCGCTCAGCTTTCTTTATAGTCCAACTCTCACATCCATACATGACTAGTGGAAAAACCATAGCTTTGACTAGTTGGAACTTTGTTGGCAAAGTAATGCTGCTTTTTAATATGCTGTCTAGGTTGGTCATAGCTTTTCTTCTAAGTCGTTTCATAGGGCAAATACTTTTAGAGAAGCAAAAGCTTTTATTCACTAAATCTGCTTAATATGCCTACCATTGATCTCAATATACAAATCCAGATGTGTTAAACAGCAAATATTAGGGAGTGATATCAGGAGTAAGAATGTAATGTCCTTTGATGACACATTTACCTCTGTTAGTGTTCACCATGACTGATTTCTCTGTGCATACTAGCCCTTTCAATTATCCCCCAGAATAAAGTGGACTTTTTCCTAGTCATAGACATGACAGCTCATAGAAATAGAAAAATACAAATTATGGTTTGTTGAAAAAAATTTTTTTAATTTTCCTGAGATTCTGGGTAAAAGAATTAATTGTTCACATTTTGCTGTCTCATTAGACCCCATCTGCCCATACAGGTTCTCCGCTCCCTGTCAAAGGCCCTTTCTTCTAAGTCCCCAGAGTCTATCTTTGGTGTGTTCCATCCAGCAGCATTGGCTCCTTACAAGCAAGCTCCTGAATCCTTGGAGAACCAGAGCTGTGTCTTTGGTAGAAAAGGGCTCTCTGCATTTCATATTATGAAATAAAGTCAGGAAGCCCCAAAGCACTGTTGCTTAGGCCCCAGCATCTTACACAAGTGTTAGTAAAACCAGTTCTTATAGTTTTGATCCTCTCCCTCTAACCCCAGTGTAAGTCCAGAATGGGGACCAAACTATGCTCAGTGCCTCTGCTCCTCTATAAGACTATTCCTGGGTTGCATCACTCTCATTGCATCCCACCCATTCCTCTGATTCACCCAGATATGTCTGCACCCCAGAAATAGCATCCAGGCTCAAGCCATGGCAGAGTTCCCCATTACACAGCAGCATTGTTAGCTGCTGTTAGCTAATGCTGTTTAGCTAATGCTGTTTAGCTACTGCTGTTAGCTGCTGTTAGTGCTTGTTAGCACAATGCTAAGCAATGTCCATGCTAAGGTCAGGCAAATGGGCCTGAGGTAGAAGGCCCTGGAGCCCAGCAACAGCTAGTTCCCTGGTGCACCACAGTTAGGGAATGACTCCTAAGAGACAGGAGAAGAACCCATTATGAAAGAGCTCACCCAAGCTCTTAGCTTATAGATGTTTGACACCTTACCAATGTCACCTGGAGTTTTACTAAAGGAATAATGTAATGAACACAAATCCTGTCAGTAACTTCTTTCTGGTTGCTCCTGGAGTGTGATAAAGTGAGCCTTTTCATCCTCACGGAGTGAGGCTTGCTAAGAACATCTATTCCATCCCCTAGGACAAGCCATAGCCCCTCTTCTAGGGTCACCTGCCATCTCTCTGTGCAAATAAGAGGTACCCATCCTCCTGATGGCTCCAGGGGATCCATCTTCATCCTGGGGATGAAGAAACAGCTCCCACCAAACATTCTCCCCTCAGATTCTCCAGAGCAGACAGCTATTGGGGGAAAGAGGAATGGCATGTCAGGGTCATCATGACCTGCCTTTTACAGGGGAAACAAGCCCAGAGAGAACGAACTTGCCGGCGGTCACACAGTGAGTCAGTGATAACAAGAGATAACAAGGTCTCCTGAAGCCCGGCCCATATGACTCCCACTGATCATCTCAGGGTGTGATAAGAAACAGCTTCATGATCCATCAGAAAAGCCAAGACTCCCTTCCCCAGGGAGTAGAGCAAACTGGAGGACAGACAAACTCAAACACAAGGTTCCTTCTCTCTCACACAGTATTCTCATCCTCTACCCAAGACAGGGAGGGTCTCATTCCTGGGTACTCATGGGGGTGGGGGAGGAGTGGTGATGACCAAAGATGAGGATATAAATGGAGGTAGATTACTGAGTAACCCTTTCTGTAGTCCGTTCCCCACACCCAGTATACATGGAGAACTACAATTCCAGTCTACTGAGAGCGGTGCTTCTTAAACCCTGCTGTGCACCAGAATCTAAAACACATACTGTTGATTGTCTACCCCTAGAGTTTTTGGTTCAGTGAGTTGGATGTGGGCCTGAGAATCTGCATAGCTAGCAGGTTCCCAAGTGATGCTGCTGCTATTGATTTGGGGACCACACTTTGAGAACCACTGGCCTAGACAAACAGACAACCCTCTCTTTTGTCCCTCACCTTCTTCGCACTCTTCCTCCTCTCATCCCCCTTCTTTGTCTTTCCTGCCTCCTCTTCTTTCCCATCTTTACTCTTCTTCCCATTCACCAAAGCATGATGGAATGAGCCAGGCTCTACCAGAGACCTGGGTTCCAGTTCCAGCACTGTCACTGTCTGAATGTGCAAGGGCAAGTCACTTACCCCCTTCCAGGTCCAAGAAGAAGCAGTGAGATCCCCCACTGCCAGTTTCTTCCCAGTCAGGACCCCATCAACCTGAGGTCATCTCTGAAGCCCCACATTCTCTGTACAAACCTGTGCTTGAAGAGATGCTGGTGAATGAATTCCATTGCTTTTGAGCTTCCTTCCAGCTCATGCCCTAGGATTCTGACCTCTTCATCTTTCCAAATCTGAACTTTTCCCTCTCCAGTGAAACAAGATATTGGGGATCTTTCTAGGACAAGAGAGGGATGTTCTGGAATGAGAGGCAGACTGTTAAAGGGAGACAGCCCTGAAACACCAGTCAGCTGGGGAAATCAGGCCCTAGACAGCAGTTACCTGACTCTCAGGAACAGCTGTGTGTGCTTGTCCAGGCCTAGGAGCACGGGGATCAAGAGAGACTAGAGAGACTACACCACCACCCACTGCAAACATGCAGAGGCTCCAGCAGGGGGCACCAGAGGGAAGGGCAAGGCCACCCAGGTCAGCCCAGGTGTCCAGTCGAGGGTGGGCGGGTACACGCTAGAGGCGTGGACGCCGCCAAAGCACGCCCCGGCCGCTCTTAAGGAGCTGAAGGCCAGTGCCAGACAGGAAGGAGAGAGAAAGCGCCGCTGCTGCTGACCCTCTGGGACCCAGAAGTAGACAAAACCCGCGCCCAGCCCAAAACCCGCGCCCAGCCCGGCCCCAGCTAGCTGCGCCATGCAGGGTCCCAGCGTGGCTCTGTGGCTCTTCCTGACTCTGCGCACTGGTGAGACCCCGCCGCCCGGCCCTGGGAGACGGAGCTGGGGCGGGGGTCCTGGGTTCTCCAGCCACAACCCCCACCCCCAGCCACAGGAGGGTCTCGCGGGCTGAAAAGTGTGTCCTGAACCTTGTTTCCCAGGAAAGAGGGGAGACGTAGAAAGGCGCGAAGGACGACAGAGGAGGGTCTAGCACTGACCCGAGCAGACCAGGATATCTGGAGGGCTTCTTGGAGGAAGCGGTATTGAGCTGAGCATTGAAAAAGCGAAGGTAGCCAAGGAGAGGCACGGGCAGAGGCATGGAGGCGAGAGTCCTGGAATGCGGAGAGGAGGTCCGGAGAGTGAATGCTCTTGATGCCTAGGAAGCCCAGGGAGGGTCTAGGGGCCAGAGAGGCTCTACTTTTTCCGGAGGGAGGTGGGAGAAGACTCTAAGGGACTGGAGGGGAGGAGGCGAGAGATACTGCCCTGGAGACTCCTCCAGAGTGCCCAGCATGGACAGAGGAGGGGGTGCAGGCAGGGTCTTCTCCTTTGGCAGGCCACTCCCAAGGGAGTCAGGATCCCTGACGCTGAGACTTGAGGCGGGACCTCCCGGGGAGCTGCCCGGCTGCCCGCAGGGATAGCGGGGCAGAGGCTAGTGAAAGGATGGCTTCAAGCCACTGCTCTGACCATCAGTACAGAAAGTGGACCTGTCACTCCGGTCCGGACCAGCAGTTGCTAGATCTACCAGGGTGCAGCTTTGGAGCACTGGAGAGAGGAGAGCAGTTCTACATCCCTGGGGTGGAGCTGGGTGAGGCCAAGAGGGGCAGAAGGGAGACTGGAGGAATCTGCAGTCTTGACCCTTGGAGTAGGGATGGGAAGCACAGACTGCCTTGGGAGGGTCCCTGCCTGGTGGAAATGGACCCAAAGCCTCAGGGCAGGTCTGGCTGGGAGGCTGATTAGTGGAGGAGGCTCCCTACTGGGCCCCTAGACTGGGGGCTCTCTGGAACTCTGACCTGGTCAGATCCCAGGACCCAAGAGGGCCCCCACCGGAGCAGGGGCCTAAATGGAAGTTAACTGAGGACCCTGTATCCTGACTCTCTACAGAGGTTTACTTCTAGTGCAGAAGGTATTGTCCTCATCTGCTTTCTCAGATAATAAAACAGGCTCAGAGAGGTCAAATAAGTTGCCTGAAGTCACCAGCTGGAGGAAGAGGAGCTTGAGGCCAACCTGCTGACTCCCCTCCCTCCCCTTGTCAGGCGCCTGGAGCTTTGCCCACAGAGGGTGGGTCTGCAGTGGATGTAACCACCGATGTCTCCTCAGGGGGCAGCCATAACCATTTCCTGGTCTCATGCCCTAGTTCATGATGGGGGCCAGGAACACTGCTGAGGGAGAGAACCCAGTCCAGCACTCTCTTGCTAGAGGACACAAAGACTCAAGAGGGGCAGGAACCAGCCAGTGCTCCTTCCATCCGCCAGGCTGTGCTCCAGGCCGGGGAGGGGAGGGTGAGGAAAACCCGGCTGCTACACTGGGAGACCCTCCCTGGCCAATGCAAAGGGCCAGATGTCTGCCCCTAGGCAAGTGCAGGGAATGCATGGCCCACACATGGCTTTACAGGTGAGCCCAGCCCCTTCCCAGGCTGCAACACCTCTTTGTGCCCTAGTACCCCACAGTGGGAGGGCAGGGCTGTGGTGAGGACTGGCTATTTGTGCTGAAGGGTCCCAGAGTGGGCTGGGGCTGCAGGAGCCCGGCCTCACTGTCCCCCACCCAACCCCAGTGCTTGGCGGGATGGAGGTGCGGTGGTGCACCATCTCAGACGCAGAGCAGCAGAAATGCAGTGACATGAGCAAAGCCTTCCAGCAAGCGGGAATCCAGCCCTCTGTCTTGTGCATCCAGGGCACCTCCGCTGACCACTGTGTCCAGCTCATCACGGTGAGTCCTCTCCCGTTCTGCCCAGACAAGAGGGCTGTGACTCAGGAGGGAGCACACAACAGCCTCATTCACTGGGAAAGGTTCCCAAGTCCCCCTGCCAGGGCCAGGTGATAGAATCGCCTGAGTTTCCGTGGCAACAAGGGCCAGCCTGTTTCCTGCCGAGGAGGCGCAGGCCAGGCGCTGGGAGGCCCCGGGAGGGCCCTGCTCAGGCACTGGTGGGGAAAGGTGTCTGAGAGGCAGAGTTTCCCCACACAGAGCCCTTCTACATGGGGGACACGACCTGCCCCACTCAGGGGAGCCCGTACAACAGACCACTCAGCGGCCCACAGCAGTTTCGCCCTCCTCCCTGGAGGTTTCTAGAACAGGGCTTGTGTCTTTTCTGGGGCAGTGGTCCTGGGTGGGTGAGTGGGGAGTGGGAGAGATTTCCTGAGTGGTGGGAGGTCTGCTAACTAGCACTGACATTTAAGAGGCAGGAATTTAGTGCAGCACAAGGTGTGGAGGGAAACACTGGGGAGAGGAACAACAGTCTCCCTTCCAGTTCAACCCAGGATACACCCCCAGAGCAAATCCAGTCAGAGTCCATGTGGCCAGGGGCTTGGATCCACCGTAAGGGTGGAAACCAATTATGTTGAACCATCATTCTATCCATGACCCCATTTGTGCTTTTTAAAACAAAAAGGAATAAACTGAACTGAAGAGAGCATCTGTAGGATTCAACCTGCATCTTAGAAAACCCAGGAAACAGGTTAGCGGTAGAGACAAGGGGTGGAGAAACAAGAAAGCGAGGGACACTCACTTTTCACTAATTTTCATTTTGTGCTTATGTTTAGCTATGTGTGTCTATTATAGTGCTTAGTCTCTCAGTCATGTCCGATTCTTTGTGACCCCAGGCACTGTAGCCTGCCAGGCTCCTCCGTCCATGAGACTTTCCAGGCAAGAATACTGGAGTGGGTTGCCATTTCCTTCTCCAGGGGATATTCCCGACCCAGGGATTGAACCCAGGTCTCCCTCATGGCAGGCGGATTCTTTACCATATGAGCCACCAGAGTCCAATAAAATTAAAAATAATATAATTAGAAAAATAAGTGAGCCCTTGGTCCTGATGAGGGGAGACCCCTGGGCCCTGGCGGGGAGGGGCCTGCAAGGCTGAGCCAGGATGGGGCTCCTGGGCCAGATGGAAGGGCTGTGTGCACCCCCAGGGCTATTCAGGCGCAGACTGGTGGGCATCCCCAAGCTCCTGGCTGAGCGGCCCTGGGGCCAGGCTGCACTGACCCACGTGTTCCCAGCAGGCCCAGGAGGCTGATGCCATCACTCTGGATGGAGGAGCCATTTACCAGGCGGGGAAGGAGCACGGCCTGAAGCCTGTGGTGGGCGAGGTGTACGATCAAGGTCAGAGGGCAAGTGGGAAGGGTGGCAGGAGAGAGGAGGTCGCTCAGCGGTGTGTCATTGCTGGACTTGGCCCGACCCCACACTCCCCGAGCTGGTCAGTGGTCCTGTCCCCAGAGTGTCATGCCCCTGAGACCTGGGGGTGCCGGAAACATGAAGGGCTGACCTGAGTTTATTTTTCCTCATGGAGGGCCCAGAAACCCCCTGTCACCCATCAGCTCTTACTGAGAGGCTGCCCCATACCTAGTGTAAGGCTGGGCATGATAGCCAGGCGAACAGGGCATCAGTGAGGCCCAGCTGCCTGCATCCCAGTGACCTCTGTGAGATACAGCGGGGAGTGGGGACGGGCCAGACAGGAAGTGGTGACCAGGAGCTGCAGAGCCCAACAGACCATGAAGGAACCCTGGTTCTGCCCTTGCTGTCATCTTCTGTGACCCCGACGCCCTCCACCTCCTTGACCGTAACATCGGTACAGTGATCCCTGCCCTGTGACATAGATTCAGTGAGCGGGTCTGTGTGCCCCTGACACATGGGTGCAGTCAGCAACATGGGTCCTGCACGCACACCACACCTGCCTCTGGCTCAGCCTGTCCAGCGCCTCTAGTCTCTCCAAGCCCAGCTCAGCTGTCCCCACCAAAGAGCTCCCCTGTGCCCTCCCACCCCTGCAAAGGCCTCTCCTTCCCGTTTCTCAGAGCACTCGCTCACTCCACAAGGTCCTGTCCCCTCTGTCTGTCTTCTCTGTCCTCAGCACAGCGAGTCCCCTGAGACGGGCCTGGTCCGCATCCTTGGATAGCCCCGGTGCCTGGTACCCAGCACAGGGTCTCACTTGGTCACTCGATAACTGTCAGAGGACACAGGCCACGGTCCAGCCCTGCAAACCAGCCCGCCTTTCCACTCAATGGCCAGGAACAACCCTGCCTCGTGGGCCCCAGACACAGCTCTTCCTCTTTTAACTAATTCAACACGTTCATTGAGCACCTCTATGCCAGTCATGAGCATAGACCAGTAAACAAGAGAGCCCGTTCCTGCCCTCACAGAGCAGGAGTCACATGGGAAATAAGCACCAAACGCTTCAGTTACAGGTGTGCTGGGTGCTGTGAGCACAGTAACGGCCATGCAGAAGATAAGGGCGATGGGAGACCTGCTGACAGAGAGCTCTGAGAAAGGCCCAGGGAAGAAAGAGCTTGGTGCGTTCAAGGAGCTAGAAAGGAAGGCCATGCTGGGGAGTCAGAGGGTGAGACCAGATGGGGCTACTTAGATTGGCACAGGCCAGGTTCAGGTGTGCAGGAAATTACACCGGCTTGGTTTTCTCGAACTTAACTTCATTCTGATCATGGGCATCTCGCTGCCCCGGGCAGTCGTGTGCGTGTCTATGTGTGTGTGCTGGGATGCTCCCTGGTCATCGGACCCCATAGAGGAGTCATCCCTGTCTTGTCTGAATAGCCTCTTCCAGGCAACATTTGGTCCAGGGGACTCTTTTGCAAGGCTTAGACCCTTGCCTACCCACATGCACCCCATTCATCTGAGAGTCATCAAGTGACCAAGTGAGACCCTGTGCTGGGACTGGGGCTATACAAGGATGCAGACCAGGCCCATCTTAGGCGACTCACTGTGGCTATTTGGGATAACTCACTTGAGTGATTTGGGACCACATTGCTAGTGGTTTTCTTCCAGTCTTCCTATCCTCCCACCCCCGGCCCAGCACTGAGAAGTCACTTTTTCTAATCTGGGAGAAGCCCCTGCCCTGCTCCTCCCAACCACCCTTATTCCCATAACAGGACACCATTCCCTCAGTTCCTTTAGGTTCTCCTAAGGGCCTATACTTTTGGAAAACAAAAGACTTACAGGCTACTTCTGCTTTTGGAAGACCTTGATGCGTGCAAATGTAGTGCCAGCTGGCTTGGGAAGGAAAAGGGGGAAATTAATGCATGAACTAACATCTCAGGATAATAGCTACCACCTGAGGCTGGCGGGGGGGGTCTTGTGATGACACGTGCATTGCACCCACTTGCTATCTAGTACTAGAACACCGCACACGCATGTGTGAGCACATCCACACGCACCCTTCTCCCTCCTCCCTCCCGGGCAGGGTCCCAGCCTCTCTTGCAGCTTCTCCCTTGCCACCCTCACTACTCTCCTCTCCCCTCCTTCTAGAGATTGGTACCTCCTATTATGCCGTAGCTGTGGTCAAGAGGGGCTCCCAGGTGACCATCAACACCCTGAAAGGCATGAAGTCCTGCCACACGGGCATCAACCGGACGGTGGGCTGGAACGTGCCTGTGGGCTACCTGGTAGAGAGCGGCCGCCTCTCGGTGATGGGCTGTGATGTGCTCAGAGGTGAGGGCTTGGCCACCAGAGGCTTCTCCCGCAAGGGTTCTGCATTTCCGCTCACAGGACACCCTCTCCCCAGGCTCACCTTCATGGCACCCTTTAAGGAGCAGCACAGTCCCCCCTCCCCTGGGCCTTCGGGACACCTGGTCAGTGACATCACTCCCTCCTCTCCTGCTGGCCGGCCTGGTGTTGCACCACTTATATTCCTGGCTGGTTGGCTCCTCCAGGCACTGGACCCTCACCCTGGTTTCCACAGCACAGCCAAGCACAGGGCCCACAAAGGGCCACAAAGCCCACCCCACGGGAGATGGTGAATCGCCCAGGAGTGCCTCGCACCTGCAGTAGACATGGTTGCTATTTCCATAAATGTGCCATCAGCTTCACAGGGTCAGAAGCTGTATTTTTTCAGGACTCAAACGAGGCTTGTACCCAGGAAGCTCACACGTGGCTAATCAGAGCCCCACGTTGATTCACGGGTGGTGAGAATAGGGTTGTCCTGCAGATAAAATGTGCCCCTGAGAGTTGAGTGAGGGCAGGGGGTCCTGGGGGGCCTGGCCAGGAGCCCAGAGCCCTGGTTCTCATGCTTCAGGCTTCTTTTCCCAGTCAGCCACTGGCCATTGTGCTGTGTCAATCTGAGGTGTCCTCCGATGCATCACAACTACATTATTGTCAAACTTCCTTCTTTTGGACTATAACACACCTCAGACAGAGTTTCGGGTGTCCCCAAACCCTGTGTCCCTGAGCAGGCTGCCTCCTGGTTTGTCTGCACCGGGGCAAGCACGTCGTCTTTCAAAGCCCAGACTTTTCTGTGGGGACACACGAGTGAAAACCTTGGCTCGGCATGGCCTGCCCTCAGAAAGATTACACAATGAACTTCACTCTCCTCCCCTGCAAAATGGGGAGGTTAAGACTTACTACAGTGCTGTGGTTTGGAGGACTGAGATCATGCACACAGTGTCTTTGCAGAACGCACATGGTCTGCGCTCACTGCTGGGAGCTCTGTTACTATGAGCTCAACTTCGATACCTCCCAGTGGGCTTCTCACAGTGGTGTGCACACACACACACACACACACACTACACACGTGCGTGCTACCTCCGCCTGCATACACTTATACACAGATACTCTGCCCCCACAGTGCCATGCATAAGAACCTGGAAGCCATGTCCTCTCAAATGGTGACCAGGGGTGGGAGGTTTACCAGCCACTTGGCCCATTTATTAAATATCTACTACCCTGTGAGGACGCAGAAAGACCGAGAAAGGAATCCACCTTGGAAGAGCTTGGTTTAGCCAAGCACGATGCAACTGGCCCAATGTAGTACCGGCATTTGCTCACCCTACATGGCACTAGGGTGTAACTGGGCACAGGATAAATATTTGCCAAGGGGGTGGACTTGGGGCCCAGGTGCTTGAAGAGGCCCCCAAATCCTGCAGATCCTGACCCTCTTCACCAACCAGGCCTCCTTCTGATCGGATCCAGTTCCCCAGGTCTGCTCGGACTTGAGTCTGGAGAGTCCGGCTGGGTCCCCGGGGAGCCCAGCCCTCCTGACTACAGCCTGAGTGGCCCGGGCCCTCCCTGGAGGATGGGGCGGGGGTCTGATGCTGTGCGACTGAGCCCCCCTCTATCTTCTCCCACAGCTGTCAGCGACTATTTTGGGGGCAGCTGTGTCCCGGGGGCAGGAGAGACCAGTTACTCAGAGTCCCTCTGTCGCCTCTGCCGGGGTGACACCACTGGGGAAGGAGTGTGTGACAAGAGCCCCCTGGAGAGATACTACGACTACAGCGGGGCCTTCCGGTGAGAGGGGCTGGGGTGGGGCCACAAGCGCTGGGGAAAAACACCTCGTCATTGAATGGGCCCCTAGGGGAGTGGTGATGTCAGCTGCATCTCATCAAAGCACGCTTTATATAGTTCATGTGCCTGGTTAGTTTAAAAACCTCAAACCAGAATATGCCAGACAGGATTTACTCATAAAATCAACATGTTTGGTATATTTAGAGAAGTAAGGGCTCAGAGAGAAGAAAATGGCAAAACTGGTCGTTTGCCACTCCCAGGTCCCCATTCTGGTGTCTGAGACCAGCAGAGAGGATGCTGGACTGGGGCAGTGTGGCTGGGACCCCCAAGGCATGAACTCAGGGCTGGCCTCTCTCTGCTTCTATTCAGGCTGGCCCTTTAAATCAGTGCTCCATGGAGACAAGAGTCTCTTAACTGCTTGTGGGGCCCTCCCATCTGTCAGCATAGGAGGATCCATGCCCGGTGGGGGCTGACCTGGAAGCCTCCTGGTTCCCTCTCTCCACCCTGGCTACAGTGTTTCCACCTGGAACCTGAGAGCTTGCTGGTGCCCCACACCCCAGGGTGGAATAGGGGAAATAAAGTTTGGGGCACAGAGGGAGAAATGATTCTTGGTCCTCCAAGTCAGAAACTCACCCACCCTGCCTTTCCTGGAGACATGCCCCAGTCCAGTCCCGCCTTGTTTGCTGACAGTAGGGACCTGGGCTGCCCCTTTGTCCAGTGGCCCTGACCTGCCTCCTTCACTGGGCAGTGACAGATGGAGGATCCATAAAGTCCTGGGCCCTTCCACACAGGGTTGTTGGTGTGGCGTGAGAAGATCTAGCCCAATCCCCTGCCTCAGGACAGAGTCACGTTCAAAACATCCTGAGCGTTAAGGCTGCTGATCAAGCAGCTGCCCTATGAGCACCTGCTCCGTTCAGGCCCCAAGCTCAGCTGCACAGAATCTACATGGATTATAAAGGATCTCTCTCTAGGGGAGCTGCTTTCTCATCCCTGCTTTAGAGGCAATAGAGGTTAGGAAGTTTCCATAATTTGCCAAAGCCACACAGCCACATAGACTGGGGAACTGGAACCCGGGTTGCATGACTGTGAAACCCATGCCTGCCAAGACGCCACCCAGCACGGCCCAGGCCAGACCTCCCAAGGCGGAGGATGGCAGCTGGACCCCAGCCTGCCTCATTGCTTCCACCTGCGCAGGTGCCTGGCGGAAGGGGCCGGGGACGTGGCCTTTGTGAAGCACAGCACAGTGCTGGAGAACACAGATGGTGAGTGGAAGGGCTGGCCCCAGCGGCGGGTTTCAGGCCCCATAAGCCCCCCTGATGGAAAGAAAGAGCTGGGTCTCACCAGTGGGGCTTAAACTGCTCTGTGCACAAGGAGGCTGGTGAGCAGCTCTGCCCTGCTCTGATACATATCTGGCTGTGGGCTCATTTTCCTTGTTAAGATTGGGTTCTGCTTTTGAAAAACAAGTTTATAAACCTCTGCACTAGCTGTCATCTACTCACCCCTTCCAGCCTTTGCTCCTTCTCCTGAAGAGCCATCCCTTTACCTCTCAGATGAGGACTTACTAAAGATGGGTTGGTGTTATGTGTTGATCCCTTATACCACTGTCATTTAAGAATTTTTAGATTTTGAAATAATTGATCTTAGAAGAATTGCAAGAATAATTCAAAAAACTTCCATTTATTCTTTATCCAGATTCCAGCTCTGAGCATTTGCCACATGTATGTGTGTATGTGTGTGTGTTTCTGAACCATTTTAGAGTATGTTTGCTCACATCACACCCTTTAATACTTTAGTACATATCTCCTAAGAACAAGGTGTTGTGGACCTCACCACAGTGCAGTTATCAAATTCAGGAAATGTAGCATGGACATAACATCTAAGTTATAATCCATATTCCAGATTCACTAATTGTCAATTCTGTCCTTTGCCACAATTTTTTCAGGCCAGGACCTGCTCTAGGATCATGCATGGTATTTAGTTGTTAGGTTGCTTTAGTTTTCCTTAACTTCAAATAGTTTCTCAATTTTTCTTTGTTTTCAGTGACATTTTTGAAGAGTCAGGTCAGTTATTTTATAGAATGTACTCTAATTTGGATTTGCCTAAGACTCTTTTATTTTTTTTAATTGAAGTATAATTTATGTACAGTAAAATGCACCCTTTTTGAAGTACTGTTCTGAGTTTTGCTAAAAATACACTGTTGTATAACCACCACCACCACAATCAAGATAGTGACTGTGGGGACTTCCCTGGTGACCCAGTGGCTAAGACTGCACTCTTATTGCAGGGGGCAAAGGTTCGATCCCTAGTCAGGGAACTAGATCCCACATGCCACAACTGAGAGCTGGCTCTGTGTAAATAAATAAAATAGCATAAGTAAATAAATAAAATATATGTTAAAAAAAGATAGTGACTGTGGCAGACCTTTCACCTCAAAGGTCCATCTGGATAAAGAATAAATGGAAGTTTTTTGAATTATTCTTGCAATTCTTCTAAGATCAATTATTTCAAAATCTAAAAATTCTTAAATGACAGTGGTATAAGGGATCAACACATAACACCAACCCATCTTTAGTAAGAGCCCAGAAAAATAAAGTCAGCCACTGTTTCCCCATCTATTTGCCATGAAGTGATGGGACCAGATGCCATGATCTTAGTTTTCTGAATGCTGAGCTTTAAGCCAACTTTTTCACTCTCCTCTTTCACCTTCATCAAGAGGCTCTTTAGTTCTTCACTTTCTGCCATAAGGGTGGTGTCATCTGCATATCTGAGGTTATTGATATTTCTCCTGGCAATCTTGATTCCAGCTTGTGCTTCTTCCAGCCCAGCGTTTCTCATGATGTACTCTGCATATAAGTTAAATAAGCAGGGTGACAGTATACAGCCTTGACGTACTCCTTTTCCTATTTGGAACCAGTCTGTTGTTCCATGTCCAGTTCTAACTGTTCCTTCCTGACTTGCATACAGGTTTCTCAAGAGGCAGGTCACATGGTCTGGTATGCCCATCTCTTTCAGAATTTTCCACAGTTTATTGTGATTCACACAGTCAAAGGCTTTGGCATACTCAATAAAGCAGAAATAGATGTTTTTCTGGAACTCTCTTTTTCGATGATCCAACAGATGTTGGCAATTTGATCTCTGGTTCCTCTCCCTTTTCTAAAACCAGCTTGAACATCTGGAAGTTCACGGTTCATGTATTGCTGAGGCCTGGCATTAGGGATGTATTGGGTTATAATTATTTAAAATTTTAATGATAATCTAAGGAAATCTAAGAAAGTAATTATTTAAAGAGTTGTCTGTAAAGATTGCAACAAGATTGGTAAGAGCAAAAGAGTGGTATTGACATAAATATGCAATGTAGTGAAGTAATATGGCTTTAATGGTCCCTAGTGAAGGAAAACAGGAGTGGCAGATTGAAATACCCAAATGATGCATTTATCTCGGGGGAGGGCCAAGTGATCCCCCAGAATTCTATTACAAAGGTTTTGCAGCAGTTTAAAAATAGAGGAAAGTTGAGGAGTGGGGAGAGAATGACACTGAGTAATTGTTGAGAGTGCTATAAATTATCATGCAGTCATTAAAAATGACCTTTATGGAATTTTCCAAACTATTACTTTCTTGGTTTTTTGGTTTGTTTTTAAATAGCTTTGGAGTGAATAGAGTGTTCATGATCACACAAATTATCTTTTTCCCTCCTATTATCTAGCAACGGTTTATCCTCCTCATTTTAAAATTTACAAGTCATTAAAATATTGTTATGTAGGGCCATCTGTGGCATATTTTATTGCATGAGTTACAATCCTTAAAATTAGTCTTATTAATATGCCTGTTTGATATTCAGTCTTATAAATGAGTTTTATGGAAAGCTTCCAGTAAAGTGGAAAAATATTTTTAAATAAGTGAAAAAAAATAGGATGTAAAATTGCCTACCATGTATAGCTTTAACCATATTTTAAATGGTTAGAGTATAGAATAGAAAAAAGAATATGGGGGAAAAATACCAAAATATTAATAGTTGCAGTTGTGGGTGAAGCTTCGAGAATTTGCCCTCTTCTCTTTGGGCCACAGTTCTGGAAAATTCTGTCAGGGTTTGTTTCCACCATTGCCCTTTGCTCAGAACTAAATTTAGTGCCAGATGGCAGTGGTTAACTCCTGATATATTTCTCTCTCATCCTCAGTTTATCTTACTTTCTTATTCTTTTTGTCTTTAACAAGCAGTTCTGTTTATATGTGTTATTTTATTGTCAGACATCTCAAATCCATTTTATTAGAAATTGGTGACAAATTTAAAATGTAAGTAAATAGACACCTCTATAGAGACACCTGATTTTATACAGTGTAGCCACCAAGCTCCTCTTCATTCTGAATTCTGGTTTCTCACCTCCTGGTATGATTCTGGGTTCTCACTTCTTGGTGTGGTTCTGGTTCTCACTTCTTGTAAGGATTACCTTTCACTGTGTGTCTGTTGTCCATGACACCCTAGGCTCTCCCCAGGTCCCCTCCCAAGGGTCCTCACCAAGCCCCACCCAGGACAGGAGTTGGCTCATGACAGGATTCCCATCTTCCCAGGGAAAACCCTGCCCTCCTGGGGCCAGGCATTGCTGTCAGAGGACTTTGAGCTGCTATGCCGGGATGGCACCCGGGCTGATGTCACCGAATGGAGGCGATGCCACCTGGCTCGGGTACCAGCTCACGCCGTGGTGGTCCGGGCCGACACAGATGGAGGCCTCATCTTCCGGCTGCTCAATGAAGGCCAGGTGAGTTCAGGGCACCCCACACAGCTTCTCGGGGTGGTGGGACCTTCTCATCTTTCACCAGGGTGGGGGTGAATCAGCCAGACCAGGGGCAGGACCCAAAGGCAGAGCATACGGGCAAATAAACAAAATGGCAAAACCAATAAATGTCAAAGTACACCATTAATTAAATGTGGTGAATAGTGTTTTACTGATACCGCTGCAGAGAAGAGCAGCAAGCTTCTGCCCACAGGCCACACCAGCTTAGTTAGTTTTGTTCATCCCTGCCACTGAGCTCGGCCCACTGCTTGTGCTCAGCACCACTGCACACCTGGGCCTTGAGCCATGTGTTCAGTCAGCTGAGTATGAACAGGCAGAATGCGCTGGGGAGCACAAGGGAAGGAGAAGGAGAGAGATCATGTGGTCCTCAGAGTGGGTGCCTGGCCTGCAGGCACAGGAAGAAGGAAGCGGGAGCTGAACTAGGAAGAAAGGACTCTCCCCGCAGTACATCATCAGCCCCCACCCCTGCCCCTTGACACACAGCGTCTATTCAGCCATGAGGGTAGCAGCTTCCACATGTTCAGCTCTGAGGCCTATGGCCAGAAGAACCTACTTTTCAAGGACTCCACCTCTGAGCTGGTGCCCATCGCCACGCAGACCTATGAGGCATGGCTGGGCCGTGAATACCTGCATGCCATGAAGGGTCTCCTCTGTGACCCCAACCGTAAGTCTACCTTTCTCTTCTCTCACTGGCCCCAGCCTGACTATGGGTATGGTCAGGCTTGCTTGAGAGGTGGTCAGAGGACAACACACACCCCAGGAGATGTGTGTGCTTCTTGGACTCAATGGGAACCTGTTTCTTCCACCTCCCTGCCTCTCATGGTTGGGGAAGAAGCATCTCTGGAGTCAAATGGCAGCACTGTACCCTGGAAACCCTACCTGCTCTGGGGGTTGGGATCCAGAACCCCAGGGTCTCTTTGCCTCTCCACCCAGTATCAAGTCCTGTCTTTCTCCCTCCACTGTGCCTTTCTCCTCCCAGAATGCCTCACTCCTTCCCATTCTCCCATAGTGCCTCACTCCTCCCACAATGCCCCCATCCTCCCACAGTGCCTCACTCCTCCTCCTCACCATGTGGCCATGGCCCTGGCTCTGGCACTGTTTCTCACCTGGACCCTTACAGTAGTCTACCAGTGACTACCATGCCTCTAGCACCCACCCCCATGTATCTACCACCTACAGCCAGAGAGATGCTGTGTTAGATACATGACAGACCTGATCTGCCTCAAGCCTTCTCACAGCCCCATGAAAGGGATTCTGTCCTCCCCTTTCTGGGTAAGGAAACAGGATCAGATGGAGAAATAACTTACCCTTATAGCTAACCATGGAAAGAAAGGGCCAGAATTTCTCTTGGGTCTGATTCCAGGCTCTTTCTGCTGAGGGCCAGCCCCTGATGCAGGCCAGTGTGACCACATGCTTACACCCACACAGGGCTGCCCCACTACCTGCGCTGGTGTGTGCTGTCCACGCCCGAGATCCAGAAATGTGGAGACATGGCTGTGGCCTTCAGCCGGCAGAGGCTCAAGCCAGAGATCCAGTGTGTGTCAGCCGAGTCCCCCCAGCAGTGCATGGAACAAATCCAGGTGGGAGCTGCATCCAGAGGGCAGAGCGGGCCAGGTGGGCAGGCAATGGCAGTGCCTGGGATGGTCCTTACTGGCCCTCCCTCTGCCTGCCTGGTCTGGAGGATACAGGGCAGCCTGAGGAGAAGAAAGTCTTCTATGACAATGCCACAGAGAAAGAGGAGGAGGAAGTTGCCACAGGAAGTTGCCCCTTGGCAGGGGGTGGGGGGGCAGGGAGAAGGGGGCTGTTTCCCTTGGCGACTCCTCTCTGCTGAGCAGGTGGGCCAGGAGCAGAAGGACCATGAGACTGGCCCAGCTTGGCACTGATGACCCTGTGACCTTGGGCAAGTCCTTTTCCCTTTCTGAATCTCAGTTTCCCCTTGTGCACATTGGGGGCAGGCATTGGATCATCATTTATTAAACTGCAATGCAGTCAGAAATACATTTTACATCACAATCTAGCACACAAAAAAAGTTTTCTTTCAGAAATAAACCTGTAAAAATATATATCCCCTATAGAGAGGTATGAAACCAAACAGTGGTTACCTTTACTAAGTACAATGTGTGCTAATAGTTTTTTTGTATTTTATCCTAGTCTTATTTTTTTAAGCTTATTATGGCCCACTTAATTGATGAAGCATTCATTTATATGCCTGCCACCTGCTTTTAACAAAGCACTGACCCTGGTCTTGAGACCCATTCAGCTCTGTCCTGCTTTGTTTCTCTGACTGGAGACTGAGGCCAGGAGTGGGAAGCAGTCCCATGGCCCTGCAGTCAGGGCTGAGGTCCTACTGTAGTCACAGGGGTCTCCTCTGCTCCTGGACTGCTTCCCTCCTGTTTTCTAAGATCAGCTAGGGTGGGGCCTGATGGTGAGGAGCTCTTTTCAAGGTGGTCCCCGAGTGCAGGCCAAGTCACATGCCCTGGGGTGTCCACCCTGCCCCAGCCAGGCAGCACATCGACTTGAGAAGAGGCGAGCGGACAGGAATGACACGGGGCCGGGATTGTGACACTAACACTCTCATAAGCATTCACTTCCCACGTACCCTGCACTGTGCTAAGCCTTCACGTGGGTGACCTCGGTTAATCCTCACGACAACACTTGTGGGGTGGGTATGATTACTACCAGAGGTGGAGAATGAGGGTAGGGGAGGCTGAGGAAGTAACTTGCTCCAGGACACCCAGGTCAAGGGTGGGGGAGCCTCTCTCCCCAGAGGTTGCTTGGAGCCTGATATGGTGCTGAGGGAGGGGAGGCCAGCTGGAATTGAGGAAGGGAGATTCAGGGGTGGGGACTCTTATTTTCCGAGTCGTGGGCAGGCTGTCCTGTGGAGGAGTGGCTGGTTCCAGGGGCCCCAGACCAGGCAGAGCTGCAGCTCTCACCAGGCACAATTCCTCTCTCCATCTGAGCTCACAGAGGGCCACGGGAGGAAAGTACTGGCATTATGGGGGTCCTGAGAACCCCAGCAAAAGGCTCAGAGATCCTCAGTTCTAAGGCTGTCAAAGATGATGTCCAGTATAGCTCTAATGTCCATTTCTTGCCTGACCACAGTGACTTGGGCAAGCAGGGGTCAGCTGGCCCGGGCCCTGGGCTGTAGCTTAGGGCCTGGGTTCCTCCTCAGCATCATGATGGGTAGAAGGTCTAAATGGGAGGGAAGGGGTCCCCCAGAGAGGCCCTCCTAGGCTCAGCATATCAACATCACTGCCTTTATTCTGTCATCATAACTTCACGCCTCAGCCCTGGACCATGGGGGGCACCTTCCTGAAGTCCCAGTGTCCCCTCTCTCCCTGGGCCCCACCTGCTTCCTTGGGGTATGGCTTGATTATCAGTTAATCTCTTTGCAGGGTCTGAGGAGCCCCTGTCCAGAGGTTTCAGAATGGACAAGTGGGGATGGGGCACAGGTGACCAGAGAGCTCTAGAGGTCTCTGAGTGGGGGCGGACCTGGGCTACTCCTGAGGCAGGGCTCTATCCCTCAACCCTGGAACCTCCTCCCATAGACCCTGAGACTGTCTTCTTTTCAGACCTGGCTTGTTCACCCATTCATGCACACATTTGAGAAGTATGTAATGCACTCATGCTGTGTGCCAGTCCTTGGCCATGTTCTGGGGATGCAGTGCAATGCCCAGGTTTCTGAGGCTGGCAAGCCATGGGGAGACCCACATGGAGCACGAGAGCAGGTACTGTGCTAGGTTCCGCTCAGAACAGGGTCTGGCAACAGGAGACCCTCAGAAAACATTTGCTTCAAGATTGAAAGACACCCGTGAATGGGAATGCTGATGCTGGATGGTTTCAGGTCTCTGGTCCTCCAAGCATCCTTACAAGGAGAGGAAGGGGCAGATGGGGCAGGATAGGGTTCCCAGGGGAAAGGACCCTGAGGCCAGAGTTCCTGAGAGACCCAGCTTTGGCACCTGTCAGATCCTAACACCCAGAGCTGTCTGGGGACCCACCTCAGCTTGACCACTCTTTCTGTCCCCTCTGCAGGCTGGGCAAATTGACGCAGTGACCCTAAAGGGCGAGGACATTTACACAGCAGGGAAGACATATGGCCTGGTTCCAGCAGCCGGGGAGCACTATGCCCGTGAGTGCAGGTGCCAGGCCACTGGCCTCAGTAGGGAGGTGGTTGATTTTTTTTTTATAAAAACTTCTCTAAAAGAGTCTTTCTTCCAGTTGCTGTCTGTCACAGGCAAACCACTCTGGCCCCAGGCACAGTGTACCCACCCAGTCACTGGGAGTCTGGCAGGCTTTGGCGAACTTTCTGTGAAGGGTCAGAGAGTAAACACTTCAGGCTCTGCAGGCCACATACAGACTCTGCTGCATGTCCTTTTTTTAAACAACGCTTTAAAAATATAAAAATTATTTTTAGCTTGCATCCCAGCTGTACAAAAACAGGCTGAGTAATTTGCCAGGGTCTGAACTAGAAAGCCTCCTTGGCCTCTTCCATCCAGACCATGTGGCTAATGGCAGGTGGCCCGGGACCCACGTTCCTGTCAGCTCATCAGTACCTTTTCAATGGCCGGGGCCCAGGTGCTCTGTCCCTAGATCTACTGACCTCAGGTCCACTCCACTTGGACATGAGAACTCTCTCATCTTAGGGAAAGTGCATCTGCAACCTCAGCTATGCCTCCAGTTTTCTCCCAGGAGGTGAGAAAAATACCACCTGAGTGTAAGGAAAGAAAGAAATTCTTCTGGAATTTCAGCAGTTGGAGCTGCTGAAAAGTGGAGCCCCACAGGCTGCCCCTCAGCAATGAGGGGACACACAGAGTTCTCACTGCCAGATACACTCTCTGAACACCCACCTGGCTCTTGGCCTGGGCGCTCTTGAGCCCAGGAAGCCAGGGTCTGACAGCACTGGGGAGCAGTGTGTGGGGCCAGAGCCATTGCTCTGAGGTCAAAGCAACTGGAGGGAACAAATTGGAGGGCACAGATTGCAGGCTCTGGCCCTGGCTCTTGCTCAGCCGAGGCCACTGAGCACAGATGAAGGGCCTCACTGGTGTCCCTTCCCCCAGCGGAGGACAGGAGTAACTCGTACTTCGTGGTGGCCGTGGTGAAGCGGAACAGCTCCTACGCCTTCACCCTGGATGAGCTGCGGGGCAAGCGCTCCTGCCACCCAGGCTTCGGCAGCCCCACGGGCTGGGACATCCCTGTGGGTGCCCTCGTGCAAAGGGGCTTCATCCGGCCTAGGGACTGTGACGTCCTCACAGGTACCGCCCCCCACAGAAACACACACGTGCAAGCTCTTCTTGGGGGTTCACTGGGGTCAGGGCCAGTTCTGAGGGCTGAGGTCCTCTCCCAGCAGGACCCCAGAGAAGGCAGCCCCAGAGAAATTTCCTCTTCCTCCTTGACGTGCCCCTTGCTCTTGGGGAAAGTTGGGGAATATTCTTGGCCACACCCAGGACAATGGTGTCTGGTTCTGTGGAGGGTACCAGGTCCCCTACCTAGTTCCTCAGAGTGGAATATTTCTAGGGGGGTGGGGAGCAGGCCAAGTGCATTGGCTCTAGGCCTGGCTCACACTGTCCTGGCTCATACGCTGTCTAGTCCAGTCACTGGGCATCTGGGGGACCTTGCTGGGAAGTGGCCAGCCATCTGTATAAGTGCTGAAGAAGACACGTTTACCCAGCACCTACCATATGCCATAGGCAGGGCCCTCCCTGGGTGTTAAATCATGCACATTCATGGTGCGAGGAAGGCAGGAGGAAGCTGGCTGCACACACACCTCTGTCCCGGCTGGCACGTTGGAGGAAAATAACACATCTTTTTTCTAACCACCCACACAAGCACATGTAAGGTGTTAGGACTGGCTGCTCCCACTCCCAGACAGCTGGGCAGTTGCTCTGACTGGAACAGAAGAGTTTATGAGGTGGTGAGATCCCTGTCCCTGAGAGAGTTCAAGGGAAGGTGGGTTCTTCTACCAGAGGTTGTCAGTGAGGGTTCTCATATCTAGACAATCTCTGCATTCTCCCATCCCTGTGATCCTCACAGGAGGGGACGTGCCGCTCTGAGCTGGATGGGCGGGAGCAAATGGGTGGCCTTGAGCCATAGCGCCAGGCAAGGGGGGCAGATCTGTGGGGGAGCAATCGCCCTCTCTGCCGTGGCCGCTCATCACAGCCCTCTCCCTCTGCCCCAGCGGTAAGTGAGTTCTTCAGTGCCAGCTGTGTACCTGTGAACAACCCCAAAAACTACCCCTCCTCACTATGTGCACTCTGTGTGGGGGATGAGCAAGGCCGCAACAAGTGTGTGGGCAACAGCCAGGAGAGGTACTACGGCTACAGTGGCGCCTTCAGGTACCTGGTGGGCTGGGGCCAGGTGGCAGGGGGGGTCCTGGGGCCAGGGGCCAGGATGGGACCTCCTGCCGATACCTGTCTTGACTTCTTGTGTGGCAGGTGCCTGGTTGAGAATGCAGGGGATGTTGCCTTCGTCAAGCACACGACGGTCTTTGACAATACAAATGGTATGTGTCAGCCCTGGGACATGACAGAGCCAGACTGGTAGGGCTCTTCCCCATCTCCAGCAGAATCTAGCACTAGATGTTGCTGGGATTGCTGGCCAAGTGGCAGCAGGGAAAGACAGTCTAGAAGGCTCTGCCCCTTGGGAAGCCCAGGAGCCCAAGGGCCAAACAATAGGAACAGGCCTCAGGCTACACATCCAAGTGCACAGGTCACCTGACAGTCTATTTCTCTGGAAGCCAAATCCCCATTCTACCAAAATGGTAGACAGTCAGTTTGGAGAAACCCCTTCCAGGGTGTTTACATGGCACCAAGGTGTGTGGATAGGGTGGCAGGGACCGCTCGCCCCCGGGTCATCAGTTCACATTAGCATCTTGTGTTTGTTCCTGAGGACATCAATGCCACACGCAGGGAAGTTACTTTGCAGCCCCGAGGTGCGTGAGGTAAGGCATGCCCCCCATTCACATCATAAGGTGGTATTTTTCTCTGGAGTCACCTTCCTGGGCTCCACTGGGGAGAAGAGGCCAGGACCTCTGCTCCGGGACCCCAAAGCCCCCACCTGAAGTTCTACTGTGTTGCAGGCCTGTACATCACTCCCCTGCCCTGTTCTGTTCTCCCTCTTTGGGGAATCTATGCATTTTGAAGACTGGAAACTATTTCCCTTCAACATTTTTTGTTTGCATTTTCTGTATACCCTGCCTACACCCCAGACTTTGCAACCCCAAACACTGGAAGCTAAGTCTTCTCCACTCTCTCCTAACACATCTCTTCCCAGGAACTCAGAGCAGAAAGACAGAAGGCCTGAAGGGAGGTGGAGATCGGTGAAGGGAAAGCAAGACATGCAGGGAAAAAATATCAATCAGTATTTCAAAACTCAGACCCACCATTCCTATGAAAGTCACTAAGGCTGAAAACCAGTTGCCTCAACAGAGCTGGAAGGGTTCCAGGCCCTGTTGTCATAACCCCCTCACCTGCCAACCACCCACCAACAGCTCTGGGGGTCATCCCCCAGAAGGAGGAAGTGGTGAGCCCTGCCTGGTCCCAGCCTGTGCCCTGTGTGTCCTGGGCTGGGGGTTCACGGAGGAGACGGGGCCCTTGCGAGGTTCACCTGCGGAGAGGCACCCAGTTCCCAGATCCACTCCACTCAAACTTTTTTATCTCTACTCAAGGACCCACCTGGAGTTCCTCCTGGAGATAGAAAGGCAGTATATACTAAGTGAATATACAAAGGCACAAAATAACGTGATTCCTGAAAGTAGTGTTTGTCAGGAAGCCTTTGGACCAGCCACCTGCATCAGAATTACTGAGTTACTGGTTTAAAATGCAGATTCCTGGGTCCCATTCTAGCCTACCTGATGAGATTCTTTGCAAGAAAGGGCATTTGAAATGGCCTCTTATAGATCAACAACACATGATGTTTTACTCCGTCTGGCTTGAGAACTTCAGCTGTTAGGGGAGAGTCCATCATACCCTCAGGCCTGAGACCTATGACACACAGATGGAGTTCTTTGCCTGGGAGTGATTAAGAAAGAGCCTGTTCCTCCATCTGTAAAATGGGAGTGATTATATAGTTCATTCTACATAGTATATGCTTCTTATTCCCTACAAATAACATTATAAGCCCAGCTGGGTTCTCTCACTCAGGTAATAGAGCAGAGCAGCTGAGGAGGGGTTGGGGAGCAGGCCAGATATCACCACCCCTCCCCAGTCAAGGACTTGGGGTCCCTGAGGAGAGTGATCTCTCTCTATCCTCTCCCTCCCTCTGCTTCATCCCTGCAGGCCACAGTTCTGAGCCCTGGGCTGCTGAGCTCATGTCGGAGGACTACGAGCTGCTGTGTCCCAATGGGGCCCGGGCCGAGGTGACCCAGTTTGCAGCCTGCAGCCTGGCCCAGATACCATCCCATGCTGTCATGGTCCGGCCGGACACCAACATCTTCGCTGTGTATGGCCTGCTGGACAAGGCCCAGGTGAGCGAGGGCAGGAGCTGCTCCACCGGGCGGTTTGCGGGGCGGGGATGGTGACAGGGGCGAGCCAAGCCCCTCGGTCACCTCAGTCTACCTGGAGCAGATGGCAGGAGAAACTGAGGAAATTCTGGGGAATTTCTCAGAAATTCTGTGAATGTCACTTAGTCAAGGCCATCCCTCTAACCACTGTCCCCTCTGTCTCCTGCATCATTAATTTTCCCTTCTCAGCCAGACCATTCCCACCAACCTACAAACCTGCTCTTATTATCTACCATCCTGTAAAAACAAGTGAACCTTCTCTTGGTCTCACATCCCCTTATAACCATAACCCCACTCCCTTTTACAGCACAATTCCTTCACTGAGCTATCTCTAGTCTGGAGTCATCAATTCCTCCTTTCCTGGTCTCTCTTAAGGATGGAGACTACTCCAGACAGGCCCCACCAGTGTGCTGAGACTGCCTTGGTCAAGGTCTCACTGACCCATGCTGCTAAATCCTGTGGCTGTTTCTCAGTCCACGTCTCCCTGACCTCTCAGTAGCACTGGCTGCAGCTCCCTCTTCCAGAAGTTCATCACCCTCCTGAATGCAGTTTCCCCCTTGGCTCCCCAGGCCCCAGGCCCCATGCCTGCCTGGCTCTCCTGCTACCTCTCCAGCCTCTCCTCCATCTCCTTTGCTGGTTCTTCCTCATTTCCCTGGCTGGTAACCACTGGTGTGCCCCCAGGGTTCATCCTAAGCCCTCTTCTTCGTCAGCACCTATACCCCTATTGATCTCATCCAGCCCCAGGTCACTACCTACCATCCGTATACTGATGGCTGCTAAGTATTCATCCTCAACCCTGCTTCAGTCTCACCCTTTAATCTCATCTTTGGCATCTTTGGCAGCTGCCTATTTGACGTTTCCATTTCTAACAGGCATCTTGACTTGAACAAGTCAAAGTTGGACTCCTCTTTTTCCCTCCGTCTTCCCCACTTCAGTGAATAGCAGCCTCAGACTTCCCATTTCCTCAGGAGTCAGGTCAGACTCCTGTCTTCCTCTCATGCCCTACTTCCAGTCCATCAACAAATCCTATTGGCCACACTTTCAGAACACATCTGAAATTTGAACCCAGGCTGTCTGACAATACTGCCCCAGGTTCCAAACCTTCCCCTCTACACACCCCCAACCTGATTTAGACTGAAATTGACCTCATTTCCCTCCGTCCATAAGCACCACAGACTTGCAGAGCCAGCTGACCCTCCAGGCCGGTTCCTAACCTTGGAAGTGATGTTTAATCTCATCTTTCCTATGGAATCCCTCTGTCTCAGGAGTTCTTAACTCTGAGTCTGTGGGCTTCCCCAAGGGTCCCAAAACCCTCTGAAGTGATGTGGGGGAAGAGCCCTGTTTGGATGTGCACTTTTCTGAGGAGAAGGCTGAGAGCTTTCATCAGATCCTCACGAGGATCCATGAGTCCCCCCAAAAGATCAGTAGCCACCTTACTCTTTCTTTCCCCCTTGACCAGTATTTGAAGGCTGAAGTGGCATTTGTCCATGTTCTTCTGGTGTCCTGTATGTATTCCTCATTTCTCACATCCCTTCTGGCCTTTTTACTGACTGTCTCAGGGCAGGAGCCATAGCACACTCACCCTGAGAACCCTCAACAGGGAAGAAAACATCTCAAGAACTTCTTGTGTGTGAGGAGGGTGGGTTAATAAAGGATATTCAACTTACCTAGTACTTTCTTAGTACTGATATCAGAATGAATGGCTCTCTTATGAAATCATTTTGGTTGGGGATAAAGGATACCTATAAAAAAGAGTGAGGAAGCCTGGTAGAGAAGGATGAGGAATGCTGAGCAAACTTAGCAGACCCCTCAGTAATCTCATCCACATCCTCTCTCATTTCTGAGTCTTTCTTCCTGTGAAGGCTCAGGCTTCAACATCCAATAGCTGGTTTAGTGTGATGTTTCTGGATGGCTGTCTTACTGTGGTGGCTCTGGTCATCTCGTACTCCACATCGGCTTTGGTGACAGAGGTCAATGAGTCGATGATTTTAAAGCAGAGTCTTGGCACCTGACTTTCCTTGCTCCTTGGTACATAAAGCAATTAGTAGCAAGTGATACCCAGATGACCATTTGTGAGCCCATGTGCAAAGCAGATCTGCTGTGTGCTTCCAGGACCTCTTTGGAGATGACCACAATAAGAATGGGTTCAAAATGTTCGACTCCTCCAGCTATCATGGCCAAGATCTGCTTTTCAAGGATGCCACCATCCGGGTAGTACCTGTGGGAGAGAAAACGACATATCGTGACTGGCTGGGCCCCGACTACGTGGTGGCTCTGGAAGGGATGCTGTCTCAGCAGTGCTCAGGCACAGGTAGGGCAGGCTGGCAGGGTCACACCCCACAGAAGAGTGGGCACAATCCCCGGGCATCCTCCCAATCCTTTCTCCCCAAACCTTGAGTGAACTGAAGTGTGCTCTGTGTCTTTGCAAATGATCAAGATGAAGTGCCCTGAGAGGGCCTGAACAGTTATAGCAGAACAGTTATTCCACTGGCTGTGGAATCCAGACAGACTTGGATAATGAATATAAATGTTAAAAATAATCATCCAAAGAGGATTCAGGCAACTGCATAAATATACATGTAGTGTAATTTTGAAAGAAATGAATATGTAAAGAAACCAGGGGAAAGAAAAATTGTAATAGGGTAGCAAGAGGGAGCCTAGAGTGAGTTTAGTACACAGAAATATGCTCCATCTAGTCCTGCACATGAGTGGCAGTGGGCCACAAGCACAGCTCCTTCAAGGCCCTAACTGTCTGTGTTTAATCCCCCAGCGACCGCGACCTCCAGGGTCTCCCTACTCCTGCTGCTGGTCCCATTGGCCCTCACGGCCAGCCTCCTCCAGCCCTGCCTCTGAAGCATCTCTGGGCCAGCCTTGCCCTCCTTTGGAATGGAAACCTATTCAGAAATCTCTCTAAATCAGGCTGTTCTCCTCAGTAAATCCGGTTAACACTGCTCAGAGAAAAAAAATGTGTGATGGGAAAGGAAGCGTGAAAAACCAGAGCTCCTCAGGGCTGCGATTCCGACACCGAAGTTTCTGTGATTGCTTCAAAGTGGAATAAAGATGAATGTTAAAGCAAAGTGCCCCCAACTGGGCTGAGCGGGTCTCTCCTGCTGGAACCCAGCCTCTGCCTCCCAGGCACCACCTGTCCCTCAGCTACCTGAGGTGGCGCGCTGGCCCGCCTCCAGTCACGCCCCACCCACAGGCTGGCACAGCCGCTTCCCTGCAGGTCTGCAGGCTCCCACCACACGGATCCTCAGCAGCCTCGGGTTTGGAAAAGACCGGTTGCCAAGGAAACGGGCTGAACCTGAGCTTCCCACATGGCCCTCTCTGCTGGAACTCGCCCTGCTGAGCCGCCCAGGGGGGCCTGGTGAGATGACAGGCCTGCCGGCCCCTCCCTGCCGGTTCCCACCTCCTCCTCTGGGGAATGGACACCGCACCCAGCACCTCCCGTCAGCCCCCGTTCCATCTGTCCTCTGGACTCCCTGTTCCAGCCTCCCTCGTGAGGATGCTGTGTGTCTGTCCACTGAGGCAGTACCTGATGAGGCTGGAGCCAGGCCCTCCAAGGAGGCAAGCTTCTGGGCACTCACAGCCCTTTGCCCTTGCCTTCTGTGGCTTGGCATGGCCAGGACCGCCGGACCCCTGATTGTGCTAGGCTGGGGAGGCCAGGGCTGGACCCTAGGGATGAAGTCCTCAGGGGTCCTGGGGCAATGGAAATGCTGCTCAGAGTTTCTACTAGGTGAGGGGCTTCATGCAGGGATGCAGGTCTAAAATCTTGCCTGAATACCTGTCTGTGGTAAGAAGGGCAGGCCTCAGAACAAAGCATGTTCTGTGTGCCCTGCCCTTTGGTGGTTCAGCCGCACCAGGCTCTGTCCTGGGGCTCAGCCCTGTCAGCAGGAATCCCCACTCCTGCGTTTCCTCCTCTTAGGCTCCATCACAGTTATCCACTCCTGCCCTGCTGTGATGTCCACCACTCTGGAGCTACTCCTGTACCTCTGGCAACAGTGGTTTCCTCCAAATTAAAGGGTTCAGCCTTCGGGGCTGCCCAGTGATCTCCAGGCGCTCAAGTGGGGGGGTGTGCCTCTGAAGAGCTGGGGATGGGGAGGTGCCATTCTGTTTGGCAAAGGAGCCTCAGGCCACTGAGGGGCTGAGGGGAGTCCCGGCTCCTCAGGTGTGAACACAGGGTCTCTTCCTCCCAGCTGTCCTCTGACTGGGCCCGAGGGTCACTCATTTCAGAGGAAGGCTCCATCCTCCCCATCCCCTTCAAATCAGTGGAAAGTGCTGGGAGAGGGTTTCCATTATCGTCATGGTTGTTTGGAGAGCAGGAAAAAGTTCCCCGAACTGCCAGCTCTTACTCTGAAATCTGCTCCCTTAAAAAAAGTGAAAAGAAGAAACGAGAGCAAGCCACCTTCGTCAGCAGACTGGGAGCCGCGTGGGCCTGGAGCTATTTGCATCTCCGTCTGCGGGGGCCTCGGGGATGCTGATGACAGGCTGGGCTCCCAGTGCTTCGCCCCCACGTGTGGGCGTTGAGATGGATCCCTTCCATCCTCAGCGGAGAAGGAGGCCGCTGGCAGTGTCCTGACCACTGTCACACCGTCCTGAGGAAGGAGCCAGCCTCAGCTACCAAGTTTACACCCTCTTCTCTGAAGGAGCAAAATCATTCTTCTCTGACTTGATGATTGTTTGATTTCTTTTTCTTTTTTTTCCAAATGGAGATTTGTGCAGTGAGGAGTGTATTACCATGTGGCCATCCTGGGCCAATGTGCTGCCCAGGGTGTGACACTGTACTGTGAGCCCTTTGAGGGTGTGACCTGCCTGAGTGCTGGGTGACTTCTGTCAGGTGACACCAAGAGCCACTGCTTTGTTAGCACTCATGAAAGACATTGGTTTGTTCTTTTAAATAAAGCCAAACAACCCTGCACTGGCTGAGGCTTGGATTCTGATAGAAAACTGCTGATGATGGTTCACTTTTTTCTTCTTAGGTGGTCAGAGGTCTGCAAGCCCCAGGTCACCCCCCTACCTCCCAGAATGACAGATTCCACTCAGAACCACAGTCAGGAACCAGTCTGAGCCTCCAACCAGCAAGGCCCACAACTCCCTTCTCCAGTACGGACTGGTTCTCTGGATTCAGCCATCCCAGCACATCCCAGTTGCCTCCATCCTCTCGGCCTCAAGCATCTGTTCCTCTGGGGACCAGCTGCAGAGCAGTGCAGTCTTCTCCACCACCCCCTGCCCTTTGTCTCCAAAATAAGTCACCAACACAGTTTCTTTGGCAAGCTGGCTGCTAACTCACTGGAGGAAGGGAAGGAGGGGTCAGTCCTCACAGTGGGCACTCTCTGGCCTGTACTGAAGAGTGGCAGGTGGGCTGATCTTGGCTGGTGCCCTACACTCACTTGGGAAGTGGAAGTTCTTGGTGCTCCACTCTCTCAGGGCTCCCGCCCTTCATTCTTCCCCAAGCCTGCCTTCTTCCCTCCCTCCCTTTCTCCATCCCTCCTCACAGCCACCTCACAGAGCTGGGACCCTGCTCCCCATGGCACCCAATCACCATGAAGCCAGGAAGTCTGGGGTCCTGCCAGCAGAAGTTGATAATGTTGTCTCTGCACCACATGACTCGGGTTTGGCCAATCAACTCTCTTGATGCTGTCCCTGCCTCCCCTAATCCACTGGGGGAGTTAATTAAATCCAAGCCACAGCTCCTCATCTAAACAACAAACAGAATAATAATACCCACCTGGTGAGGTTGTTGCGAAGACAGGATATTTATACTATGTGTAAAACAGCACTGCGCTTGGCACATAACAGGTGCAAGAGACATTAACTATTGCTACTGTTGTTACTCTGGGATCTGAATTTGGGGGCTTAAGTTTCAGATTCCTGGGGGAGAAATCTGGACCCAAAGTGGGTCAGGTGACTCCTGCTGGACCAATCACCTCTGGCCACAGAGGCCCCAGAGAAAGACGAGATTAAAGAAGTGTGAGCCAGGCAGCCACTCACCCTAGCTGGTTTAGGTGACATTTGGCATTTGTTGAGAAAATATTTATTAATACACACTATTAGTACCCCTAGACCTGGGCAAGACGGACCTTGGGCCTGGGCTTTATGACTTAGAACAGTGCCCTGCAAACCTCGATGTGCACACGAATCCCTGGGGATCTTGTTAGACAGCCAGTTCTGGCTCAGTAGGTCTGCAGCAAGGCTGCAGCTCTAACCAGCACCCAAGAGGTGCCCATATTGCCGGTCCTGGGACTGCATTTTGAGAAGTGAGCGCTTCTCTGACCACCGCCCCCAGCAGCTGGAGGAGTCATGGGGAAAGAGGACATGTTCACCTGAAGGTCACACCCCACTTTTTAGACATGCTCCTGACATTCTTATCCCAGCTTCCAGGGTCTGGACGGCCTCTTCTCCAGGTCCTGCCTCCAAGGGGTGGCCAAAAAGTGGCCTTTTGCAGGGAGGCATGGCTGGACCTTGATGAACAGGCCCTCAAAGAACAGGGTGGAACCTGGGTGAGTAGAGCTATGGGGTGGAGCCTGTTCCCTCTGAACCTCAGAGTTCACTCAGCCAAGTCTATGTAAAGGCTTATTTGTCAAAGTAGGAGGACAGGACATATTTAAGTTTGTTAGCTTGATCTGTAAGTTTCAAATTTATAGCTGTGTGGTAGAAACTGTCTGGGCCCTGCAGACAGTTGGGTTACTCCAGCCCGCTGTGTGCACGGCGGTCCAGCTCTGACAACCTCTTCTCAGGGCTCCGGAAGACACAAGTTCAGTTAAAGCCCACTGCCCCTGCCCTTGGGCTCATTTGGTGAGGCCACTGGGCTAGTGTGTGGAGAAGGGACAGTGAGAAGATGAGTGACCCCCCAACGAGGACAGATGGTCCTCCTGGCTTCTCAGCACACCGAGGAAGAAACATCACCTCCACCTCCAGACTCCTCCCCAGGGCTTTCTTTACAGGTTTGCAATGAGGATGGATTCCTTAGGACCACGACCTACAAAGGTTCACACAATAGGTATATGTGCTATAATTTTTTTTTAAATGTTTCAGTTTGGGGAGAAAAATAAACCTAGGACTGAAGAAATTTGAATTGTAGTTTCACTTTTGGTATTCACCTCAGGGAAATTCTTTCTCCTGTCTCAACCTCAGGTCCCAACTCTACAAAATGGAGATTTGGATGGTCCCTCTGTAGTTCCTAGCCCGAACAATTATTCTTAGACTCAGCAGTCTCCGTCTTCCCAGAATTATTGCCTGGTTGGTGCTGAGCACAAAGGGGCCAGGTGGGATTTTTTTATTTCTGCCTTTCCCAGCTGCCTTAGGGTTGGCACAAACAGCCTAGAAGCTGCTTCACAACCTGAAAGTCATTACATGTTAGTGATTCTCAAACTGGACCGTTTATCAGAAACCACCTGGAGAGCTGGTTAAGGCAGAGTGCTGGCCCCACCCTGAGCATCTCTGACTCCATGGGGCAGGGGTGGGGCCCAAGAATGAGCATTTCTGATGCTGCTCCTTAGGTCACCTCGATTTGGAGAGGACTGTGAAAGACGGTGAGTTCACACACCCTGAGAGCATGACAAGTGCTGCCCCGGTGGGGTGGGGGCCTGGTAAGAAAGGCACATAGTTAGGAGGCCCTCATGGAGGGAGCTGCACCAGCCTGGAAGGAGGGGCGGCCTGTGACCACGCTCAATGCTCCACGGCAGAGGGGAGGGAGGTGCAGGATGATGCTGAAGTGCCCAGCCTAGGGGTCCCAGCAAGGCAGCCAAGGGTGAGGGCAGCATCTGGACTTTGGCCTCCCACCCAGGACATGGCTCTTGACTCCCAATGCCCCCGGGTTCCCCACTGAGCATTTCTGAGTAGAGCTTTCAGGA